GGGTCAGGCAGTTCCGGCAGCGTGGAGACCAAGCAGTCATCGTTGCGTTGGAGCTTATTACGCAATTTTTTATTATTTATTTTATTTTTTAATTAGACTTTGGACCTGTATTCCGGGAGTGCTTTCAATGCGTGTTTTTAATGCAATAAAAGTATACATTTTGGTAAGAACAGTGAAGCAAAAAACCACCTCCCTAAGCGAGCCCTTCCGACACCCAAATTTCTTCCATCGCAGCCAAAGCAAGCGCATTTTATTCATGTGATTTCATGAAGTAACCCAATATTTGTTTTGCGGTTGTTGTGTTCCACCCTTGGGCTTTTAAAGGTCCCTCACATGCAGCCACGTACTTCGTTAACATGTTTTTGCCCATTTCTCGGAAATCCAGTGACATGCTCTGTGATGCACAGCCCAGGTCACTGTGATCCATCATCTCTGGACTTTTCTGCTTCCCTTCTCCACAGTGTTGCAGGCCCCAGTAGCACATTTCTCCACCGTACATCATCGCCAGCAAGTGAGTCTCGCTAAATACACCTGCACAAATAATTCAGATCAAGTACTTTATTGTTCTCTTACAAGCAAGTACACAGCTTGTTAACTTCAATTATTTTTTTCCAGTAACACTGGGAAAAAAATCCAGAAAGGCAATATAAGCCTATTCAAGAGGCACACCAAAAAGCCTCAAATTTTAACTATGAGATGATTGACACTGCTGAGAATCTGGATCAAGGCCTTGCTCATTACTGTATCCATTCTGTCCCTCCATAATGCTAAAATCTTTAAGACTGCCATATAAATATTATTCTGATAATTGTGTTTGCCTATTTGTCTTGGAGAATGTCAGTATTTCTGTACAATCCATTAAGTGCAGACATGATTATGCATACTTATTTTACTATAGTTCTGTGCCTCCCAGAGTTTAAGCCTAAAAGGAAAAGCTGTTGAGCACCATCTTAACTCATGTTAACCAGCAGCAGCTTTAATATTGACTGGAAAGGCATCTACTGTCTATGGTCACTCAGGAAAAAAAACCAAAACAAAACAAAAAACAACTGTGCCAAATAAATCTACAAATCAGTTACTGAACTCGGCTTTGCATTGTGGAGCTGAACTAGTATAATCTCACTTTCAGATGAAACTAGGCAAGAAGGTGCTCCATTACCCCATAGGGAGAGTGGATCTGGTTTCAAATGTGTACAACGTGGTCATGTCATCCACAGCACCATATGTTTTACCTTACAAATCCTCTCCTGCTGCACCACCCTACCTACATCACTCTGAAGCAGTCTTAGATCCACATGTAAACGCGCTATAATACGCAAATTGGATAACGCTACATAAAGCGGAGACAGAGAGAACATAAGTTTGCCAAATCTACTCAACTGTGTGAAGTCAGTAATTCTGTGTTCACATCTCTGTTCTCCTAGATCTAAACACGAGGACCAACATGGGAACATCCAGCACGCTGTGCAGTTGCGTTTGTGTGTTCAACACCTGTCAACTGACAAATGGATGGCTGTAAAATACACATGCTGTGCCTGAAACTGCTGCCTCAGGTCACTTTCCTCCAGTGCACTCAAAAACAGAGAAAATGAGCACTGCCATCCTTTCAAATCCATGAGTCAAAAAGCAGCAGGGTGGAAAGCACAGCTGCCTGCTTATCTGTCTCATTTTTGTTGCTGTTGTTGCTCTAAAAAGTGTTTTTAATATAAATGAACTTAAACAATAAAAATATGCACTAAAGCATTTAACAAAGCAGATATTAAGGACAAGGAGTTGTGGGGTTTGAGGGTCATTTTTTTTTTTACCTTCACTGAGTAATCTAGCTGTGTCTTTATCTTGAAGTAAGACATCTTCATTTAGCTCAAGAGGACATCTAAAGCTAAGCATCTTCATCAAGTAATGAACTCCATCCTTAAGACACTGAGTTAAGAGTTGGGGGGGGAAAGGGGGGGGGGAGAGAAACTTTTAGAAGTCTTTTAATTTTATGATAGCCAGAAAATACTTCTATGAATTTCCCAAAACCTCTATTTACAACAAATCAAAACAAGGTATATTTTAAAATAGTCAAACTTTAAAGCTGTATTCACATGCTCATATAACTTTTTTTAGATCTCCTTTACCTTTTTAAATACGGTAGTGTTTTCTCGTAGCCATTCACTCCTTTCTTTTGTGGCATGACAATACATGTAAAGCAAGGCTCCTTTTCTCCAGTAAAGACATTCTAACAACTCTGCACCAAGGATGTTGACAGGCTGAAATAAAATCCAACAAACTGTGCTAGCCCAAAAGTCAACCATCTGAACTACTCATATACACACTGACACATGCAGAGCGTGATATTAAGTCTCTAACTTCAGAAGCATGTAACATCAACAGCCACAGCCACAAGCAATTTAGGATTTAAACTGCTAAAAGCATTTGGAATCATGAAATGTTAACAAGAAACATTCTGAGCACGCACACGCTCTTTGAAAAAATCTTTTCAATAATCACTATTTATATACAAAGATGACTCCACATTTTTTCAAATCATCTTACATTCTGTCCAGCAAAATGCAACTACTACTATTCTGTTTCAGGTTTTTATTTTTAAAGAATTCTTTGGCTGAATAATGTTAGTACTCACTTCTTCATTTATGTTGCATTCTCTCACTACGACTTCTGGTTCCGAAAGAATACAAATAAGTTCTTTAACTTTCTGCACTGAAGCTTCTTCTGGAAAATCTTCATCCACAAGTTGGTTTTCCTCAAAATATGTAATGTCTAGGACAGCCTATGAAAATAAGATAAACAATGTAAAAAGGCTACAGCAAAATAATCAGATTGTGGTCTAGAGCAACATACAAATGTGTTACAGTTTATAAAAATATTACCATTTTAAGGTACTTTTTAACACTTAGCTTACAAAAACTGCAAGTTAAATGCATTGTAGATTGCTGACAGTGAAGGTAAACTCAAAACCTTTTCCGTCCTTACAGTACTTGCACAACTATTATAAACTCTAAGTTATCTTCTAATCCAGACAAAAGCACCTCTGTACTTCATGGATGTCCCCTGTTCTTTCCTACACCAAATGCTCTCCCCGTACCCTCCTACAGATATTTTTTTTTAATGGAGATCTTAGTAATTTAATTACACTACCTGTGTATAAAGCTGCAAAAGAGTGGAAGGATGTTCTTTCCCTTCATTACAAAGGTCCTTCAATTTCTCCAGAGTAGCAGAGCCCTTTGCTAAGAAGGTATCTGAAGGAAGAATGAAATGCTCCCTTAGCACTCAAAGAGCTTTGCTTACTCCCCCATTTAATATGGTTTTAGGCACAGTAATAATGAAGCGTTTAAACAGGCCCTGTTAGACTACACCTTCCACAACTAAATTAAGGGCATTCACGATTAGGGTCTGATGTTTCAAAACCAATTCCACGCAGTCGGTTTCAAGAAGCCGTATACCAAGAGCACAACTCGCTAAGGTGCAGGGATGCTTTTTAAGCCTCAGCCGCCCCGCTCCACACAAGTCTGCAGAGGCCTGGGCCGGCACAGGCCGCACAGCTCCTGGGGCGAGGCTCCTTTTGGAGGAGGGAGTAGCGAAGCCTCTAGCAGCTGCCCTGGTGCC